TACAGCCCATGGGCCGCATTCGGCCCACGGAGGCAGTGGGGAACCCCAGGCAGGCTCCCTAGCTTGCCCCACAGCCCCAGCCGGGCAGAAATGCAGCTGCAGGGCTCTATTTCTGTTTTAAAACTGAGGAGGAAGGGGGAAGTTTTAGGATCTGCCCCGCCCCCAGCACATTCCCATTGGCCAGTTTTGGGCAGACCCCAGCCAATGGGAGCTGCTTATTGGAGTAACAGGCATCTAAGAAGAACCAAGCCCCCTCTCCTTGGCTCACTTATTCATGAAGCACATGGCCAGGCAGGCTGGCTGGGAAACATTTTAACTCTGCAGGCAGGTGGGCTAGTTTGGCAGCTGACAAGTCTCTCTCTTGGCCACAGCCTGCTTCTGGCACCGCAGCCCTTTCCTGCCCCAACTCTCTGCCCCACCCCCCAATATACCCAAACCCTCTGTCCCCCTCTGACACCCACACCCCCTCCTAGATCTGGCACCCCAATCTCCTCCCCCAGATCACAATCCCCTGCTACCCTAGGTCACATCCCAAACGCCTGCACTCCAGTCTCCTGCTCTACCTCACAACTGCCTGCCTCATCCCAACTCCCTCTCAGACTCCAGTCTCCCTCCTGCACCCCAGACCATTACCCCAAGCTCCCCTGTGCACCCAACCTCCACCCAAGACCCTGCATCTCCATTAATAGCATGGAAGAACGCAGCCCTCAATCACTTTCCAAAATCTTGGAGTGGCCCCTGTCAAAAATTATTGCCCACCTTGATCTAATCAAACCACAAGGTACAGGGTGATGTGGTATCTAAGTAGCATCAGAGGGTGGCAATCTGACATGTCAGCAGTGATGTGTAACTGGTTTGTACCTGTATATACAGTCATAGGCGGCGAGTTGTATGGGCTCGTGGTGCCTGTGCTCCAGCAATACTGAGAGCCGGGGGCCCTGCTCCACCAATATGGAGCGAGGTCTCTCCCCCGGCTCTGCCTGGAGAGTGTCCCAGCCCCCACTGCTCAGGAGGCTGTGACGAGTGGGGCAAGTTGGACTCCGCGCTTCCGGGAGGCTCCTTTGCCTCCTGGGGGCAGGGGGTCGAGTAAGGCTTCATGAGCCAGAGCTGAAGGAGGTAAGTGGGATCACTGAGCATTTCCACATCCCCCACTGAAATTTTCTGATCTAGAAAGAAAGTGCCTGCCTGCAGGTATCATACATTATAACATAGAATCATAGAATACTAGACTGGAAGGGACCCTGAGAGATCATCAAGTCCAGTCCCTTGCCCTCACAGGAGGACCAAGCACCATTTAGATCATCTCTGATAGATGTCTGTCTAACCTGCTCTTAAATATCTCCAGAGATGGAAATTTCACAACCTCCCAGGCAATTTAGTCCTATGTTTAACTACCCTAACATCTAGGAAATTGTACTTAATGTCCAACCTAAACCTCCCTTGCTGCAGGTTAAGCCCATTGCTTCTTGTCTTATCAGAGGCCAAAGAGAAAAAAATGTTCTCCCTCCTCCTTGTAACACCCTTTTAAATACTAGAAAACTGATATGTTCCCTCACTGATATGTTCTCTCTGTCTTTTCTTTTTTAAACCAAACAAGCCCAGTTCTTTCAGTCTTCCCCCATAGGTCTTTCTAGACCTTTAATAATTTTTGTTCCTCTTCTCTGGGCCTTCTCCAATTTTTCCACATCTTTCTTGAAACATGGTGCCCAGAACCAGACAGAGTACTTGGAGGCCTAATCAGTGCAGAGTAGAGCGGAAGAATTACTTCTTGTGTCTTGCTCACAACACTCCTGTTAATGCACCCCAGAATCATGTTTGCTTTTTTTTCAACAGTGTCACACTGTTGACTCATATTTAGTTTGTGGTCCCATTCTGTATGTGTGAAACTGATTGTTCCTACCTAAGTGGAGTATTTTGCATTTGTCCTTATTAAACTTCATCCTGTTTACCTCAGACCATTTCCCTAGTTTGTCCAGATGATTTGAATTATGATGATTTGAATTGCAACCTTGCTATGTCTGTTGAAGCAATAGACGAACACCGTGTTAAGGTAGTTAAGAAGAGGTTATGGATCAAACAATGAATTTGTCTTCTATCTGCACTTTCGGTCACTATTAAGTTCCACTGAGGACAAATGCTCAGTTTAAAGAAGGCTGCTGGGAATTACAGGAAACCCCGAAGTTACGACGGCCCGAGTTGCGACCCCCCTACTCTTATGACCATTTTTGTAAGTGTAGAAGGAGCCGAAACCCCCCGACTTACATCCTTGGCCCGCATTTACAATGGCACACAGTGCCTATCGTAAATGCGGGTTCGAGTTACAACGCCCCTGCCTTGCAATGCGCAAGTCGGGGGCCACTTGATACTATTCATTTAGCAAGCATTTACTTATTTTGAAATGAGGAAACCAAATGCTTCATAGATGTATAGGGTCATATGTTCTCTATTCATGGCAGAAGTGTGGAGGGAATTATACAAATAGTAGGAATCTGTGCAAGAAAGCAATATCAGAAACAATAGTACGTAGTGTTCTGGGTTGCACAGCATAAACTGTATGGTGAATCTATCAATGAGAATGGTTAGTCAAACATGCCTACACACCCAAAAGAAGCAGATAGAAAGGCTATGTACCAGAATATAAATGCAGCTCTGTTTATTCATGTTCACAGGTTTATTCACATGTTTATTCACAGATTGTGATGCTCAGAATCTACAGCATAATCCTTAGTAATACTAGTATTGGTCTGACCTAATCACATTTGGGGCTACAGAGTGAGCTGACATAAGAATGGAACCTAGAGCTTTTTCACAAAGAGTTAATTTGTGCACATTTCATCTTCTGCTCTTTTTTGTGTGTGGGTGAGGCGGGGGGATTGTTTTATTATTGGCTTAGTAACTTAATTTACTGTACTCTGGGCTTCCTCCCTTCTCTCCAGTAACTGCCTCACTAGTTTTGTTTATTATCCTGAACATATGCTCACAGTCATGTACTGCCATTTATGATGCTGTGTTTGCTAGGGTACCACGCCCCAGGAGAATTTGCTGTATATTTACACTAGCACCTGGGAAATGGATGCTTGTCTCTTGTAGGGATGTGAGTAGTCGAATGGAGTTTCGATGATTCACTTCTCCCCTTTCACCCCCCACGCTGCGTCTGTATGAGAGGCAGCAAGGGGGGCAGGGTAAGAGCAGGTGCTGGGGGGAGCTGGCTTAAAAACTGGTTCCCCCAGCACAGTCTCCATGGAGCTGCCTCCCGCCCCCCCCCGCCACAACCTCTATCAGAGGCAGCAGGGGCATAGGGGAGTCTGCTCCGGCAGCAGCCCCTGTTCATGGCAGCCCTGGCTCCATACTGTAAATTTCCTTGAGCAAGGAAGGGCAGTGTGGATGCTCTGTGGGTTCTTGTGCAAGAATGGCTGTACTTGTGCAAGAAGCCATGAGTGTAGACATAGCCTTAGAGAGAACACATCCCCCAGCCTCTCTGCCCCTGAGTTAATGTCACACACATTGGGTTAATGCAATTGCAGGATAGTTGCATGAGGGGGGTTTATTGGGGGCCAAACTAATCCCTGTTGGTAGGAGGATGGTGGGAAAAGTCCTTTGAGAGGGGTGACATGACACCTTTTACTTCTGGTCATGTCTCCATCTTGCCCCAAGCGTATTACCTCCAGAGGTCTGGCTAACATGGGTCGGGGGCGTGGCTAATGGGGGTCAGGGGTGTGACCACCGGGGGTCAGGGGCATGGTTAACAGCAGTCAGGGGGTGTGGCTAATGGGGCACCACCAAAAATTATACAAACCTGCCTCCCATGTATACAGTGGTGTGTTGGATGGGGGGGAGGGGCGGGGGAGGCAGTCTTTGTCCAGCCAGGAGGAAGTGGGAGTTTCCCACTGTTTGTGCTGAGGCCATTGTTGTAAATACTTGTGTGTAGTGATTCGGTAGAGTTGACTGACAGCTATGACTGTACTTCACTTAACAATAAACCTGACTGGGCACCTTTGATCCTTATCTGATTTGTGGTCTTTGGGGTGCTCTCTTGGGGTCTGCGGTGGTCATGGGGCCCACATCACTGAGAACACACACAAGCTGCCTTCTGGTTATTATTATCAACAGAGCCAGAGACCCATCTGGACACCACGGCAGAAAATCTCCTGACTACAAGAGGTAGATATGCTGGAGGGCAGGGATAGAGTCCAGAGTGACCTGGACAGATAAGATTGGGCCAAAGGAAATCTGATGAGGTTCAACAAGGACAAGTGTAGAGTCCTGCACTTGGGACGGAAGAATCCCAAGAATTGTTACAGGCTGGGGACCAACCAGCTAAGTAGTAGTTCTTCAGAAAAGGACCAGGAGGTTACAGTGGATGAGAAGCTGAATAGGAGTCAACAGTGTGCCTTTGTTTCCCAAGAAGGCAAATGGCATATTAGGTTGGGCATTGCCAGCAGATCTAGAGACGTGATTATTCCCCTTTATTCGGCTCTGATGAGGCCACATCTGGGCTATGTCTATACTGTGCATTGTTGCACAAGATGATATGCAAATGAGGCACGGGGATGAATATCGCCGTGCCTCATTTGCATACCTAATGAGCCGCCATTTTGCAGAATGGGGTTTTGCGCAAGAAGGAGCTGTCTACACTGCTCCTTCTTGTGCAAAAGCCCCCTCTTGTGCAGGAGCTGTTATGTCGCTTATTTTCAGGAAGAATGGCTCTGCGCAAGAGGGGTTTTTTTGTGCAAGAAGGAGCAGTGTAGACAGCTCCTGCTTGCACAAAAGCCCATGCTGCAAAAATGGCGGTTCATTAGGTATGCAAATGAGGCATGGTGATATTCATCCCTGCGCCTCATTTGCATCTTTTATTGCGCAACAATGCGCAGTGTAGACATAGCCCTGGAGTATTGTGTCCCGTTCCGGTCCCCCCACCACAGAAAGGATGTGGACGCATTGCAGAGGGTCCAGCGGAGGGCAATAAAAATGATTCGAGGGCTGGATCACATGACCGACGAGGAGAGGCTGAGGGATTTGGGCTTGTTTAGTCTGCAGAAGAGAAGAATGAGGGGGGATTTGATCAGAAGCGCTTTCTAAAATGGGATGTTGTGATCCAGGGACTTCTCAGTGCAAACTGGAAGAGAGCACCAGGGAGAGCCCAGGGTTTTAGAGGGATCCCCTTTCAGATATGTGCATAACAGTTCACAGAAGAGTGCAGGTGAGTTCTCTACCGAGAGCCGGTAATCAGCCCACTGGCCACTGTCATCATTGCAAAATGTAAGTAAGAAGTTATGTTTCTATAGTACAATGTGTGTTCTTATGGTCTTGGAGTTAAGGCAGCTCTCAGGCAGTTACATGCACTGGAAATGTTCTTTTCAGGCAAGAGGGCACTTTCTGGTATCGGACACCTCTCTCCCTGTCTGGTCATGTGATGTATGTCTCAGAATGGGTGCCCATGTGCATTGAGTCACAGGTAAACAAGAGTGTGGACAGGACAAAACACACAGCAGGGGAATGTCTGGCTTTTGAAAAACACAAAGGCGTGTCTAGGTGTATCTTGAACTCCAGGGTTGCTTGGCTCTCCACCTGGAGCCATGGAAGGAGAATCACAGCCAGTTTGGCTGTGAAATGTTGCTAGGTGTCTGGGGGAGCAATGTTCTCCAAGACATGAGAATATCCTGTTAATTAAATCCAGGCCCTATAATGCGTATTATGATTCTGTTTGATATACAACCATTGATTTCTACTTGCCCTTACTTGACTCTATAGGCTTTATAAAATCAGTCTGTGCTGGAGTTCACATAAGCACATGTAAGTGCTGCATGTTAAGCAGAATGGGGCTCTCCAGTGGGATTGGTGAGTTGTTTGTTTCTCTGGATGCAGCGACTCTGTTAATCCGGATAGAGATGCAGCCGTGTTAGTCTGGTCTAGCTGAAACAAAAGACAGAACTATGTAGCACTTTAAAAGACTAACAAGATGGTTTATTAGGTGATGAGCTTTCGTGGGCCAGACCCACTTCCTCAGATCAATATGTGGAAGAAAATCAGCACAACCATATATACCAAAGTGATACAATCAAAAAAATGAATTAATGTGAAATTGAAATTTGATTTCTCCACTTGGAAATCCATTGCACAGACATGGCTGTTCCATTGTGGGGACTGGACCAAGAGATGAAGAGTCTGTCTGAGTTCCTCGTCTCCTGGGTTCTCGCTAAGTAAAAAGTGAGGGCTCATCTGGCATCTAGGCAGGGGTGGGCAATACATTTTGAAGGGGGGCCACTTCACAAATTTCAGAAGTGGCTGTGGGCCTCGGGTAGAAGGGGCGGGGTTGAAAGCTACCCTACTGGGAGCTTTGTTTGGCCTGGGGTCCCTGCCCCCTGACTTCTGACCAATGGAAGTGACCTGGAGAAAGTGGGAGGGTCCTGGGAGCTAGCCTCCTCCCAGAGTTGTCTGGGGTAGAGGCTTAGAATTCACATAACAGGCTGACAGCTCCTGGCCCCACTGCTAACCTGTTGCCTGGCAGCTGCCAGGCAGGTACAAGTCCTTTGAATAGAAGCACTTCAAAGTCCTCGTGTCTCCCAAGCAATGGGCCAGTGGGACCGAGAGCTGCGAGCCCTTTCATTTGTTTCTGTTTAAAGGACTTGCACCTGCTGGGTGGCTGTCAGGCAATGCAGCCACCCAGGAGATGCAAGCCCTTTAAAGAGAAGCAATTAAAAGGGTTTGCACGTCTGCGGCTCCCAGGCAACGCACCAAGGGGCGGGGCATGGAACTGCCTCACGGACCACATCAAACCCCTAGGCAGGCAGAATCCGGTCCACTTGAGAGGCTTTTGCCCATCCCTGATCTAGGGTGTGAACATGGATTAGTAAAGTATGTGTGGGTATGTCTACACTACCCTCCCAGTCCGAACTAGGAGGGTAATGTAGGCATACCGCACTTGCAAATGAAGCCCGGGATTTGAATTTCCCGGGCTTCATTTGCATAA